GATTGTGTAAAGATGAGCATTGCTTTAGCAAAGTCAAGCGATACCCAAGTATTTACAGGCTTGAGCACTTTGGCACCACCAAATTGGTGAAATTGAAAGAATCTGAAGGAAATTGAAACATTTTTGGAGTTATCAGGGAGGTACCCTCTGCTCACATCTATGTGAGCTTGTATTTTTCCCCCTGTGAGTGTCATTGGGTTGGTGAATATGATATCAGCAGATTTCCATCCCTTCAAGTCAACTTTCATCGTACTTGCACCATGCCAGCGCATAAATTCGAAACCACCTCTTTTTGTGTGTTTTATAATCTCCTGTTGCCAGGTGTCCATAAGCCCTGTAGGACATATCAGTAGAGTAGTGTGTGAAGAGCGGAGATTGGTGATGGGATCTGATTCTGGATTATCAAACTCAAATTGTATTGCAGCTGATAAGGTGGTAACAATTAAAGTGATTGTTTGTAAAGTTTTCCCAAGTCCCATGTCATCAGCCAGTATAGATGCCTGTGGACTAATTGGGGCCGGGTTATCTGCTGTTGAAATGAATTCCTCGCCACACAAACGGTGTGTCCACTTGTTAAAGGAGCCTTTGTTAACACATTGCCACAGTGATCTATAGCTGGTGGATAATGGTTTTCTCTATCTAATAAAAATGCCAGGCCCTGTTTCTGATGAGGTTTCAGCTGAGATTTAATGATATCTGATGGTTCTGATGGCTGAAGATCTTCTCCACACTGGATTGATGCAAGTTGGGCAGCCTGCGTAGCCAAGAGAAGGTGAGTTTCCGGGAATGCAGATTTCCAGTCAGGGGTGGTCAGTCCTGTAATGTTGATAAGATCTACATGATGATGAAAGCTAGGATTGTAGCGTGGAGGTTGATCCAGTGATATTTCATGTTCACACATTGTCTTGATGACTTGTGATTGTTCAGAATACTTGATAAAGACTAATGCAGTAACTAAGAATTGTGTTGTTCCATTACCCTTGTCTGATGTGTTGAGGTAACAACTGATAAGTGGTGTGTTACAGTGTTGGATATCCTTCTTTGGTGTCCATCCACCAGCTGGGAGTGAGTAATGCTTTCCTGCTTTATAGTGGATGAGATCTAAAATACAGTGGTCTACACCTCTGGGAACATAGCCTACAGAGTTGTCATTTGGGAGATAAAGTTGAATCTTGTGACTGACATCAGGTTCATCAGAAACCTTTGCAATCATGTGCAAAGGTGAATGGAATGGATGAGTGATTTCAATAGCAGATGAAGTGATTGAAGCTACTTTGAAGTTGATACCCCCAGCACATACTGGTTCTTTAATGTGATGTGTGGGTAACATGTGGGTTGAGTTGTAGATCTATAAATGTGAAGAAAACAGGATGAAATAATTTGATCTTTGGAGGGGGAAGGACTTCCTCAGAGAGGAAGTCTTTATATCACACATTGTGCATCACCCTAGACTCCAGATTTGGATGCTTTTGAGTATGGATGGATCCCCATATTGCGTGAATCTGCAGTGTTCTTGTGGTTCCCCGCATATTCATGTGCATTTTGAGCCCTGAGTACTAAACCAGAGTACCAATGGGCAACATATTATAATACAAACTTCAAAAATAGCAATTACAACTCAAGGCTCAGTTTCAAGAGTCAAGTTACATATGATTTAGCATATGTAACATGTGCAGAACTTACATCAAAGGGTGTGAACATACATAACTTTGATGCAAACCAAAGCTACATATATTTCACAGCCGTAACACATATGTAACAAGTGAAATATACTTATAATCCAATAGTAACTGTCTTACTGTAATTAACCTAACCATAGAACCACAATTTGTGCGCACTTGTAGTCCAAAGATTTCCAAGGTTCAGACTATATAAACCCTGGAAATCCAACCAAATTGAGAAGAATAACATCATCACATTATTATTCAACAACTACACAACTTTGCTTTTATTCATCTTCCTACACTGCAAATATGATGTATTTTTCCCAGGTGAAAAATGATTACATTTATTTCACAAAATGATTAAAAATGCATTAATTCTGCATTAATTCTGCATTTTTCTGCATTATTAATCATTTTGTGCATTAATGTCAATTGTTTTTCATCTTGGAAAAATACATTATTTTTGCAGTGCTAGAACCTTTAAACTTTGCTTTTCAATAACCAAACTTTAAAGGCCTGATTCTACGAACCTTGAAACTCAAACCTTGTGTCTTGTTGCTTATTCTGTGTGCTCATTCAACTTTGTTTCTGATTAGACTCCATAATCAGTATTTCTGGTAATATCCATTTGGTGGAATTACTTGTAAGGAAGTAGTCCTCGAGTATTGCTCATATCAGATTTGGGATTCATCTGATATAAGAAACTCTAAATCTATGGGGAAATCTCTATTAGTCAGAGTGTAAAGTTCCTGGTGTTATAATAGACCTTAACACCACCTTCTTTGACCTTTCTTAGAATAGAAGAGGATCAAATTAGGATTGAGAACTGCGTGTCAGTTGCTCTTCTTTTTTAATTATTGTAAAGACAATAATTAACCCAAGATCCCTGGGCTAAAGCCTTTGTTTAAAGGTCAACTAACTGCAGTCTTTACTTGTTTATTGCAAGTAAAGCTCTTACGCCCACGTCTATACCCGTCCACACTTGTAGATATTGATCTACACAACTTTAGTAGAAGTTATTAGACTTTCTACAACCTCTTTATTGACTCTACTAGCCTAACAGACGCTAGTAGGCTCACATGCATACTTTCACATACCTGCTGCCACTTGCAGATCCATGCGTGCATATGAAGATCCATGCACATGCACATAGGAGATAAGACTGGGACATCCCAGATGTACAGGGTCTGATCATAAAGTTGTTTGCCTAACATGATGTATCCTCAAGTCACAAACACATAAAACTATCTTTTCAGAAATGAATAAAAAGTAAGAAGAATGAAATAATCAAGAGCAAAGACACCAAATACAATCAGCTCAAAAAAAAAGATATCCAAAACCTTGAAAAATATTTTCAAAGTTATTACCCGATGTAAGAAAAATTAAAAGAAGAAAAAACCAATTACAAAATATTCTTTTCAATGTTCCAATTCTGAAAAACAAACTTCCACTAAATCAATTGTACATTAGGAGGTACCTAAACTTCATTGTAAGCCAGAACAGATAATTGTAATCTGTTTTGATATCAGCGTGGTGTACAACACCCGATGAAAGTAAATGATCAAGTTAATCTACAAGTTAATGTACCATTTTGGTTATATGTTCAGGATTCCTAGAAGTACAAACTTCTAAAGAATTCAAAGCTGATAATCAAACCAGTCCTTTCCTCAGATCATCTCCATACCATGTTCATTTTTGAGTAAAGTTAATGATTGAGTGACATTTGGTTTTGATTTGTTCGGTCAAATTAGAAACCAACTGAGCACATTTGAATGCAATTGAAGGGATAAGATTAAGTAATCAAGTTCAGATTGACAATGGTTATCTGATACATTTTGAGTTTTAAACCAAGAGATTCATTTGAGTTGATGTAATTCCCAAGAGTCATGAAGGCAACCATTGAACAGTGTTGAAGTTGAAGTTGTTATTTTTGAAACCAATTGTTTGAATAATTTATCATCAAGATTTTAATGACTTCAAAGATTGGATATACCAAGAATTGAATAAACTGCGATCCCATATGGGTGTAGACGGGTTTAGGGGAAGAGATGGACTTTTCATAATAAACTTGAGAATTCCTCATGATCATCTGATCCAAATGGTGTACGGCCTACAACAACCTTATACATAAGATGATATGGATCAATAGATAGAACAAACACTAATAAATTGAATTTGATGATTTGTTTGATCACCTTGATGTTTTAGAGTGGTTCATGTTTCTTTGAAATTTCTCTCTTGATGGCCGTTTTGAGCAATTTGATGACAGGGTTGATTGATCATTCAAAGATACAATATTTTGATTGGATTGTTTGTGGTCTTTGATCAGCTGGGATGAGGAACTGATTGATAATTGATAAAGAGAGTAAAGTGTCAAGATTGAAGTGATTACTCAATTGTATTTGATGATCGAAGTTGAAGTTGAAGTGGATTGATGGATTGGATTGAATGGAGATGATGTGACCAGGTGATTTGATGGGAGCTTGGATGAGGCGAACACGTGAGCCAGGGATTTTACTCAAAGGACGTGTAAACCTCCAATTTTGCAGTACTGATTGGGAGTTTTGTTGGGTTTTGCCGTCAAACACGGTTTGCCTTTAACTTGAATGATTTGACCAGATGAGCGAGGTCAAGAGATTAGTCAATGGTACCTGATCAAAGATATTAAATAGAACAAACGGGAATTGCCAGAACAGGCATCTTTGCCCGCTTGAGCATATGTTTTGACGGATCCCCCATGGGTTCATACAATCAGGGCAGGACCGCTCATCCCAGCTCTTCCCAGCTCTTCCCAGCTCATCAGTGTTGATGAAGTTGGACGATGGCTCAGTGCTCCTGAGGTCAACGCCTGAGTCTGGCGGCTGGGAATGGGGCAAACTGGGCAGGCTCAGCGTACCAATTTGGCCTGGACAGAAAAATCACAGTTTTTTTGACACTTTTGCGCAAGATCGTTGGGCCCCCAACGTCGGGGGCCTTCTCCACGGGCACTGTGTAGGTGGGAATCATGCACGCCAAGCAAATAATTCACATGGTCAACATTTCTATGAGAGCGGAAATCATCATTCTAATCTAGAAAATCATGAACAAGGACAAAGTGGAAATGGAAACGTCAGTAGAGGAAGGGGAAGAGGAATTGGAAGAGGAGTTGGAAGTAGAGGAGGTAGTTCAAGACCAACAAATCACACAACTCCTACAATGTTGGTAAATGGGGTAGCTGTCCCGAAATTTGGACCAAGAGCGTTTGAGGCAATTATAGCGGGGAGACAGAATGGGACAAGTGGTAGTGGAGCAACAACACAGTAAGTCAAATTAGGAGATTAATTTGTTCTAGCTAGACATTTCCGTTTTGTGGCATTTCTATGTCAAACAATGATACATGTGAAATAAACGTATCAGCAGACTAAGAATCTTTGAGAGTTGTGAGTGAGAAACTGGGTCAAGTTTGAATTGTTACGTGTGCCATTATAGATCAAGTGAACTTCACAGATCAACATACCATGTCGTGAGCAATCCTTTAAGTGAGAATCTCTTTGGAAAAGAACCGTCCACACCCGAAGAGACACCAGAACAGTGTCAACAAAAAGAAAAACCACAAGAAAAAAAGCAAGCACAGCCCCCAACTACTGGTCACTGGCAGGCCAGTACATCCGATGCAATACCGCAAGCGCTGCGCACTTTAATGCGATTGTGGAGCGGTTGCGTAGTGTTTTTGGGCACCGCAATGGCACCGCTATATGTAGCGGTGCCAGCGCTCCGCAACCCGGGCTCAAAGAACCCGGTCCTAGGGAAAACCGCACCGCCATTGTGGTATTGTACCGCTATATTGTTAATGTTAAAGGGAAACCGTGTTCGCCGGCAAAACCCAATTAAACTCCCAATCAGTACTCCAAAATTGAAGGTTTACACGCTCACTAGATTTAACCCGATTTCCATGCGCCTTACCCCCAATCTCTTCCTCACTCCTCTGAACAAATTGTTTCTTCACCACCTTCTACCAATCTTATACCCACCAGACCACTCATTCTGAGTAGTTATCTGCCTGTTTTCAAGATCAAGAACAAAACGAAATGACAAAATTAGCTATCAATACATTCTGCGAGAT